GCATAGCAACCCTGAAGATGACATCATAAAGAAACAGAGTTGAAAAACAGTAAATTTTTCAGCCTTAGATGGCCAGTTCAAATTAACTAGGTATATGTAAGCACCCATTGACTTCCACCCACAGGTACAAACCCAAACAAAATGCAGGCAAACTAAAAATGAGAAAGCTTAACTGGATTTTTAACGAGAACATTGCCAATTAGGATCAACACATTTATGATCCTGAAGACTCCTTCCAAATGGTTATAACATCATAATGCTCCCAACAGAAATCAATGGTAAAACTACAACAGTCCAGTGATAACTGACGGAAATAGTTCTTGAAACCAGAATTACGTCTATCTCAATGAAATTAATAGCCACATTTTATACCTAATGCAGTTTGAAAACTTTTTCCAAATAATCACCTGTAGATCCAAAGATGTCAGGTATATACACCGGTGAGCAAGGGACGATAAACCCGAACTCGAAACATTTGGGCACCAGACCAAGGTCAGTTTCTCAAGTTTTGGAAAGCCCTCGCTGAGAGCAGTCAACCCTGCATCTGACAAACAGTAAGATCCAGACTGGTCTTCCTCATTCCCACTCTTTTCAGTCACACGGCGCAATTTAAGGGATGATCGTTTGGACTCATCTCTGCCCCGCTTTTGCCCCTAATAAATAAATTGCGAAACACTATTAAATATTATCATTTATTAATAATACACCAAAAGATCAGTTGTCATTTTGTGAAACGTCAAATAACTAAAAAAGATCAAAGTATCATATCAAAGCTAATAAGTACAAAGAACATTCCCTTCCATGTTGGGAAATTTTGATTACCATAATTGACAAAACAAAATCAATCTATGTCTTTTCTCCTCTTTTGTTTTGGATTCTTCTTTATAAAGAAATTTTTTCTTGCTAAAACTGTACAATGACTGCATAGAACAATTCTTTTTTCCTACTTATCCCTATTTCATCATATTTTTCCTAATTTAGAAGGAAACTAGAAGTGAAAGGAGTCCATAGATTTCACATGTTTCCTTCTCAAATCTCTGTTTAAGTAACTGACTTTGAAATTCTAAAATCTTCTGCATTGACCTTGGCGGCCTTAATGTTTTTGCTAGCTGGTTCCATTATCACAAAGTGGCTCCAAAATTGAAGATAGAGATCAAAAAATTGAATTTCAACTATTTGGGGAAACATATCAATAGGTAAAACCGTTGATAAAATTTGAACTAAGGAAATTAAAAATGTAAGTTAAACAAAGAGAAACATAGAATGATTTTTTTGGTTATTCTAGCTCTAGTTTTATTAAATATTAGGGTAAACCTAACAAAAATATCCTAATCGTACAATTTGACCATCCAAATAGTAAAATTTACTAGGTGATATTTTAAAATTTGAGGGTCATTTGAAAAGTAGCTAATTGAGAGTGGAGGAGCAATCCCATATCCCCTATATTGACAAATGACAGCAACCTTCCGGATAAATTTTGAACCTCATTTGTCATAAGTCAAACACTCCCTAATCTTCCAAGCTAAACCAAAAAGTAAATCCATGTTTCAATTTTCTCTAAACAATTAATTCAGTTAATCAATCATGCATGGTTCTTCACATGCCAAGATAGTGAATCAATCCAAACACAACAAATGAAGAGAAAACATAAGAAATTGAAGCCATTGAACACAATCACTTTGTTATAAGCATACATTTAAGTATGTTTTCCTGAATTGAGAACTACCAATTTAACATGGCGAGGAATAGAGAATCGCTCGTCAATGTGGATGTCTTTAATGCTAAGAAAGCGGCGAGCGAGGAGCTTCAGATGAACTCGGGGCCCGCCAGAAGCGCTGATACGAGCTGGAGCGGCTGAGCGCTCTAGTGCGAGTCACCGCTTGCAGACGA